ATATTAATACGCACTTCAGTTTGACTTGTTTCTTAAGATGAGTCTCTTGTGAACAATGAAAATTTCCCCATAGGTATAATATATATTTTTCATAAAACCCAGATGATATTTACCTATAATAAGATTAAGGTGAGTTTTCTGTTTTTTCTCATCATATTGTGATTGGCTTGTAACGATAGTTTGAAAATCCGCGGGTAAATATTTATACTAAATATTTTTATATGTCGATAAATATATTACCGACCGCAGAGTACACCGACGTAGTACCTGATGACGCCGCGCGAGCTGCATCGTTGAATTCTCTCGCATGTGCCTTAGCTACCGACCGGCTATAGAAACTGCGCTCCCGCATAAAATCGTCACTCTCGTGCTTTACAGAGTCAAGGAGGGTTTTACCCACCAAGACAAGAGGTCTTACCACAGGAGTCTTACTCCAAATACTTATCGTAGAGAGTATTACTCTTATTTCAACGCGATTTCACCCGTTGAAACAGTAAATCGGTTTAATAATAATATAATGTAAAGTAACTCAATGTAAAGTAACGCAATGTATAGTAACGCAATATAAAGTAACGTAACACAATGTAAAGTAAGAGTCTTACTCCTACTACAATTCGAACACGAGTTTTACTCGTGGTTCGCCAAAACATCGCGGATTTTTAGGAAATATAACAATAGATTTCACGGCTCATCATGTATCCAGATTGAAGCCAATATCATTAATTCGTGGCTCAAATAAAGCGACGTTACCCAGATTGATGCCGATATTCTTGATTTCGCGGCTCATCGTATCCCGATAGACACCGACAGTCTTAGCTAGAAACCGACTTCCTCGATACGCCCTTTTCCTCCGTTAACTATCGACATTTGTAAATATACAGTGTAAATAAATAATTTGTTGTTGTTTGTAATTAACCTCGTTATTATTATTAAATTGAATCAACGAACCCTGTCTCGACGAGTTTAAATTGATTTAGTAATGACAAACGTTACAGGCTAAACTTCAATACGCTATCTAGTGTTTACCTATACTTCAGACAACCATTTTTCTTTTTCGTCTTTCTTTAATTAACACGATAGAAAGAGAAATAAAAACCAAAATGTCTGACGAAGTATAGGTAAAACTCCCTAGACCGCCAATCCCAATATCACGGTGAGTTTTAACTAACTTTAACCGGCCTACAGAAAAAACCTGAACTCAAAGTGAGTATACGAATTTCATATAGAGTGACTATACACCGCAGTGAGAAGAGAAAAATTTTCATGCGAAAGTGAGAAACTTTTCTCCTCTATGAGTGAGTAAAATCAAGGTTGCCAACCTAGATGACGTGTTGGTAAGATAGGTATTTAACTTTTTCTTGAGAAACTATTCAATACCTACCTTACCAACACGTCTCCTAGGTTGGCAACCTTGATTTTACTCACTCATAGAGGAGAAAAGTTTCTCACTTTCACATGAAAATTTTTCTCTTCTCACTGCGGTGTATAGTCACTCATACTCAAATTGATATACGCATCAAAAATTAAACTGTTTGTCTCATTTCGAGTTCTAAGATAAAAGTATCAAAATGAAACAGGCAAGATTAATTTTAAAAATAAAAAAAAAGGGGAAAATATTGTGAAATAACGAATAATTTTGCAAAAATACATGAAATATAATAATTACAAAACGTAAAAAAAAACATACTAGACTTAATATATTCGATTGAAAACTGCTTGTAATTGAGTAATAAAATAAATGAAAGAAATATGTTTTTAGGTTATAAAAATGAAAACAAGTGTTTTGGTTGGTTTCCATTGTCCCCACACTAGTCATTTTTCATAATTCTCATCAACTACCGCATCCTGTTCTAGTGAGAATTTAGTAACTTTTACAATAGGAACGGTACTGCCAACTTAAATAATACCGGTAAATTTCAAAACTTATGAAATTAATTATTATCTAAATAAATAATAATTAATCATTTTTACTTAAAAATTTGTAAATTTTTCCAGAATAATTTTTCAGTTTTTATTTAATTTAAACACTTTTTCACTGTTAATAATAATAAAAAGACTAACACTGATAAACTCAATGGCATACAGCGTTTACTTTAAACAATCATAATTAAATAATAAACATTAATAATTAATATAAAAAAAAAATTATTTTTTTTTTAATTGTTTCCGCCATTAAAAAGTTCGTAAAAAAAAAAATTTAAACAATCCATATACCTCAAAACATTTTTTCATTTTGTTTTTAAAGGAACTTGAAATTTTTTTAAATATATGCAAAAAAGATTAAAATTTTCATTTCCACCACTTTTTTACATTTGTTTAAATAAATTAACAATATTTGCTATCTACAATAATTGTATCAAATAGAGATGCAAACTTTTAATCTGATCCCAGATAATTCAAATTTAGACCCGAATCATTTCACGTCGAGTATCACGTATAATTTACAAAAAAAAAAAAAAAAGAATTTCATTAACCGTAATGATAATAATATAGAATCTCAAAAATGTGAATGGAATTCAAGAATGTCAATAAATCTAAAGAATGACAACTTTTTATTCTGCTTTTAATTCAATTTCTATATAGATAGTTTTACAAATATCTTTTCGCATAGTTTATAATTAGATTTCTTTTTTAATTGTAGATGAAAATTTTTTTTTTAATAGAGGGAAAAACATTTTTTTTTTTAATTCAAAAATAAAATAAATTAATTTTAAAAAAAATTTGTTTTTTTCATTCAATATAGATAATGGAAGGATTAAAAAAATTAACTATTATTATGATTATAAATGCAAAATAACTTTTCAGTCAAATTGAATAAACTTGATTTTTCGATTGATAGAAAATATAATATATATGCTATATAGCAAAAAGGAATGGTATAAAGGAAGTCTTATTCTTATATATATAGTCGCATGAAGGGAAAAAACTTTCGACCCGCCAAGGTCAAGCGTTGTGATCTGTCCCAAGTAGAAATATCCGTAGCTCGCCGTAATTAAACACCGGCATGGTACTGATCCAATACTGGCTGTCGGTATTGACTTTCAGTACTGGCAGTGTACTGACTAATACACCGAATCAGTACTATGTCGGAGGTAAAAAAATATTAAAACCAGTACTGGCAGTACACTGTCATTCACACCGAATCAGTACTATGTCGGTGATAAAAAACATTAAATGAAAAAGTCTTTAAATTATTTCAATAGGTAGAGAACGATGATTTTTTATTTAAAAAAATGTATATTAATTTCTTTCGAATACTTTCCCTCAAAATTTTGGATGTAATTGTAATGTATTATTATATACCTATATAAAATATATTTATGTTTTTTTAGTTATTTTAGTACTCATTGAAATATGTGCATTAAGTTATTTATCATGCATGCAATAACAATAAGTTGAGAATTTTTTTCTAATAGTTTTAAAAATAAAGCAAATGTAATTTTTTCACTGTAATTTTTAAATATTATTAATAATTAAATATTAAATTTAAAAAATTTTTTACCATTCATATTTTACAGTCGTCTTTTATTAACTTATTTTTAATTATGTAATTCATCAATCATTTTTGTCTGTTTTAATATTATTTACGGTAAAAATAATTTATTAAAAATATTTAACTGAAATTGATATCCAGTTTTATTTCCTTAAATCTTTGTAAAAATTGAAAAAATTTTATGAGTTTAAAAAATTTAAGAATAAATTCATTTTATTTTCGTGATCAATAGATAATACAAACTTTGAAATCAAAACTTTTGTATTAGGTGAACTACTTCAAGTCAGCACTTCAAGCCAGCGCGGCTGTGCGGTATGCGTATCTGACTTGCGTTCTAAGGGTTTAGGGTTCGATCCCCCATGCGTGCGAGATTTTTCGTTCTTAGTTTTAAGTGTTATAAGTACAATATTTGTTCATGTGTAATATCAATTTTTAAATAATTATTAAATTAAGTATAAGTGCAAAGTAAAAAAAATTAAATATTAGGAATTTAAAAAAATAAAAAAATTTACAACACAAATTATTTTTTGTAAAATAATTTATTAAAAATAAAATAATTTAATTAATATAAATGATAATTATTATTTTAATTATTTATTGTTAATAATATTTTATATATTCTAAATAACATTAACTATTATTGGCTTCACATTACCTGTTCGTGGTAAAAATGGGAGTAATAAGCTAATAAGGATGAAATTTGCATTGGAAAGCGTGTTTTAGCATTTTGTAAAAAAGTGAGATTTTAAGTCCGGATGAGTACTTTGCCAGTATTATGCCAGTATTATGCCAGTATTATTCTAGTACTACGTTAGTACTGGTGAGCGGGACAAAATCAGTACTGGACAGCGTTACCAGCCAGGGTTGGTCCACTACTGGCCCAGTACGGCAGTCAGTACTATTATACTGACTGGCAGTGTTGGGTCAGTACTATGCCAGTGGCACATTTCTACTTGGGGTAACTCAATGATTTTTCAATCTTCTCTTCCTGGTGCAATTGATTAATGGTTTATCTTGCCAATCGAATCCTCTCGTGTAATATCATCTTTTTCTTCATAAGTATATAAATATGTAAATTCAAATTAAAAAAGTCATCAAAGTTTTCATATATAATCAAATAAATATATATTCTGAAAATTGTTTCACAAAATTAGTGTTTTATAATTTATTGAAAGTTCTGATTTGCTAAGTGAAAATTATAAGGTAAAAAATTTAACAAACACAAAAAAAAATTTTTTGATTTTAAATTTCAGTAATAATAATAAGAATAACAACGAAACAATTAGGAAAAAGGTAATAAATAAGAGCAAAACACAATTTATAGAATAAACAAAAATATGTATTTTCTTGATAGACGCTTAGGTACTGGCCGCTCACTTTAACCATGACAACTTATCACTAATATATTTACAATTAAATGTGACTTTTTAACAAAACTTGAAGAAAATATCAAAATTTACATAAACATTGAAACTAATATAGTTTAATTTTTAAGACAAGTCTTGTCAAAAAAAAAAAAAAAAAAAGAATAATAAAACATTTGCCATAAATCAGATGAGAAACAAGAGTAGCCTGAGCTCCCTTTATATGGGAAACCCAATACACAAAGCGGAAAACAAGAAGCAACTCATCGATCTACGGACGATCCCTATTATACGTGCGTATTTACAAAACGAATTACATCGGCTCAAATGTCTTTTTAAACATTGAGTATCACTTACACACACATTATTATACTGGCCATTCGTATTCGCGAATAACGAGCCCGTGAATAGAATCGGTTGAGGGATCTCCTGAATAAAATTTTACTCCACGCATTTTGATTTCAAAAAAAAAAAAAAAAAAAAAAGAAACTTACAAACTAACTTTAACAAATTATCACTTTCACACATATAAATAGAATCATATAATTATATTTTTATATACATATGTATATAGAAGATATTTATCTACTGGCCGATGTTTCTCACATCATAGTCTACTTTTTTTTCTTTTTTTTTTTTTTTATACAAAAATCAAAAAAAGGATATACAAAATCCATATTTTTTTCGATTCTCTTAGCTAACTAATCTTTACAATAAATAAGTCGATTTTTTCATTTCGCTGAAGTGACATAACTATGTATTTACAATTTGAACACATTTTTGTGATGGACGCACGTCAATAAAATTTTGACAAAAATTCCTATTAGAATTAAATCCATTTTAATTGATTTAAATAAATTTGATTAATTTACAAAATATTTCATTTTCTTTCGCGTCAAAATGTATATATATTTAAAGTGTGAGTGGTAATTCAGCAGGCCTTTTAACACCAAGTGTAAGATCCAAAGGTTTACTTTTTGTCATTGGTTCATCTTTGATTTCAATTTTCATACTATCCATATTTTTTGCATGACTCTCGTGTGATGTGAAACACGGCCTGGGTGAATTTCTACTCGATCTAATGCTAAGATCAATTGGTTCGTCTTGTTCAATTGCCAAACCACCGGGACTTGGACTCACTAGAAGTAAATCACCACCTCTTGGTGAATGTTGTGATGCTGCTGGTGTAATAAGTCCAGGCGGTGGATACACTAAACCAAGACTATGATGAGGATATCCAGTTGTTAATGTAACAGTGGCATTAATTTTTCTCGGTGGGAATTCTCTTTCCGATAATGTTGGCGAGGCACTTACTTTAAAGTAACTCAACGCTGAATTACATCTTGATTCATCGTGTTCACCATCAACTGATGATGCACCACTATCACTTGGTGTATCAGCTGAACGTTTATAAGTTGGTAAAAATGGTCGAAATACTTCAGGTGGACTCGATGGTACTTCTTTTTGTGTGAAATTCACTGGAAACATTGGCGATGTTAAATGTGGATGTTTATAAGTAAATGAAGATGGTGGCGTTGTATCCCTTGGTGGTGTACCTGGATGTTGATTAATTCTCTCGCGTTCCTTTTGCCATGCAAGAAGCCTAAGATGATTTTGAAGTGCAATATCGTCGGGATGTGGTGATTTATTACTTCTTTCACGTTCCTGTTTCATCATTGCCACATGAAGAATATGTGATTGTAATGCTAAATCCTCTTGGCTTGGTGACGTTCGATCTTTAGTTTCTTTAGTGTACATGAGATTTGGTTGCGTTTGAGTTGGTGTTGATGTGAGAAATCCTGGTATAAATCCCGGTCCAAATGGTGAGCCAGTGGGTGTTCCCATGTTTTGATTACCATTTGTTTGCTCCTGTAGTAGACAGTGAATTTTAAACCAATTCGATCGTCTACCATAGCGTGAGCCGGACTTGGACATTCCCACCATTAGACACTTTCGCAGTCGGCACGCCTTACATGCCGTACGATTTTTCTTGTTGATTACGCAAACTCCGCCATTCTTGCACTCTGAGATGCTGCCCAAGTTGTTGTAGGTACGACCAAAGAAGGACTGTAACAAAATAAAGAAAAGTTCATCATTAGATAAATTATTTAATAGAAAAAATAGTTTATAGAAAATATCACTGGGATTGGGAGACAAACCATAAACTAATGAACCAATAAGCGAGGCGTGCGGTTTATTCGTTACCGAGGAAGAAAGAGTGGTAAAATTCGAGGGTTTGTTAAATTACTAAAAATTCTAATAAAATATATTTATCGACGTAAACATTCTAGATTTTTCTATTTTTAATTAGCTTCTTATAACTATATAAATAGGGGTAGAATCAAAACGCCTTTAGCACGCCACGCGCGTTTCCAACTGATTGAAGTTTAATGTTACGCGCGTCATGAAAATTAGCATGCCTAGAAGAGAAGAAAAAGAAGAAGAAGAAGAAAAAGAGTATAGTCGATCGTAAAGTTAAATGCTTGTCGGCCGACGATAAAACCACCTCGAAAGATCCAAGAGAGAGAAAGAAAGAAAGTTGAACCTGCTCGCACACGGTCATCGAGCATTAATTTATGATCCTGACTTTTGTTTTGTAGAAACCCTCTCGTATATATATATATAGAATTTCGAAGCGCCGGTTCGATCCGATTCGCGCTATAGTCGCTCCTCTCTTTACTTCCGAATAAATTATCATCTTTGACCAAGTGCCGAATTCATTTGTGAATCAGCAACCTGAATTCCAAAAGATCACGTGGGCGAAAAATAACGGATTTTAAACCCACTCTTCGACAAATTGCTATTGTTATTTTAGCAAACAATTTACTTTCTAAATTATTTTATTTATAACAAGACATAAACTTCACTCTTAACGGATTTGACAAAAAAAACCGTTTGTCATGTTGCGTTTCGTATATCTCCTGAAGCTATACAGTTTCACATTGCAATCTTTTGGTATCTAAAATAATTATCTCTCTTTGATGCTGTCACAAGAAGAGTGAGTTTATGAAAGACACCTGCGCTGATAATTTTCACCACGTGTATAAATTTCAAGATAGTATCGTCAAAAGAAGAAAAGTTTTCTTTCTTTCTTTTTTTTTCAATAAAATCTTGAAAAAGATGATAATCACGGCGTAATTTATCGTTCCAAGGACAAATTTACGATTGACACGAGGTGTAACAGAGAAGCTTGTAAGAAATTTTTTTTTTTTTTTTTTTTTGCGACAGTTCTTCTATAGAAGTAAACGCGATCACCATTTAGGGGCGCGTGCGACAAATCCGCGTATAATCTGAGCGCCGCACACACACACACACACACTATATGGCTTTTGCAGAAAGGGGATTATCGTTTAAATCAAACGGCACGCCCGGAATCTTGAATCGATTTGTAACAAGACTGCAAAATATCCTCCAAGAAAAGTTGCGATGAGGAAGAAGTGGAAAAAAAATTTTTTTTTTTTTTTCAAACATGTTTAAAGAGATTACGTGTGGGCGCAATAATTGTTTTTCTTTTCTTTTTTCTAAAATCGCAAAGAAGGAAAGCTGTTGCGCTTGAGTTTTTTTTTTCTCTCTCTCTTTCGCTCACTAAAGTCTCATCCAAAGTACGAGCCATAAAATGTCATTGGTATGACGTTCGACAAGTCGATCACTCGCCTCAGTGCGAGAATTTCCTAGGAAAAAACGCACATTTTCCTGCACGTGAGAGGAATTGGATTTATAGTTTCTAAACCAGAAGTATACTATACACTATATATATATATATATATGCCGAATAAGAGAATCAACTGAATTCGAATCCATATATTTTCCATTTGGTGACTTGTCAACAATTTTATATCCAACTTTGTAATTCGAATATTTTGCTATAGAGAAAAGTAAATTTCTTTTCTTTTATATTTTTCAACTTTTCTAAATGCGCATTTCAAGTGTTTTGATTTAAAAAAAAAAAAAAAAGGTTACGTAACCTTTTATTTAGTTGTGACTTTTGCATTTATGTCGGCAGGTGAAATTTAGTGAAACTGATAAAATAATTCAAGCCACGCGAGAGAGCAAGCAAAGTGAGTCATCAAGTAAACGATGGAAATCAGTGTTTTAATTAAAGTGATGAAAATCTCTCTGTCCTATCGTCTGAAACATAATACTCCCGGAAAAGGCGTCTCTCTTTCGGAGATTGTATATACGTGTATGTGAATATATGTGTGTGCGAGGATCATGTATATATGTGTAATACCGAATGATTGCAAAGCACGAAACAGCTCAAGTTATTTCGTGATTTGAGTCAATTGATGGCAAAGTGCAATTAAATGACGACAGCCTGCCGTTTTTCTGGTTCAATTCTATATACAACAAATTAGATACTTCGGTCTTATTTTGTACAACTATATATATATATATATATATATATATATCGAAGCAATTATATACTAATTCTCTCTTTTACATCCAATTTTCAATCTTGCCTTTTTCGTATATTATATCACAGAACATGTCATGATGACAAACAATTTTGAATATAATTAATTCTTTAGTAATTAATTATTTGAAAATTAATTTTTTTAAAATACTTTTTGTATCGTTTTATCTAAGAGGTTGTTTTTTATCGCAGAAGGTAAAGTAGAAAATTCGCGTCTGCGCAGAATACATCATCGGAAATTTTTTTTTTTAAATATTCTGCGCAGACGCGTATTTAACCTACACTGAGAGAAGTTTAACGCAACATCTGCATTTTTTGAGGGACAGATATTGTACCACAATTATGTGCAGACGCAGTACTAAAATCGAACAGCAGCAGCGCCAATTGAGTACTGATTCTGACCTAACTTGTGGGACAAACGATTTAGTACAGTATCTGTCCACCAAAAAGCGCAGCTGCGATACAATTTAGAACCGATGTTGCTCGAAAGGTTAGGTACACTATCTGAACGTGTGTTTAGTACGAAATCTGTGTTTAATTTCTCTCAGTGTATATATTACTTTATCTAGCTTCTTTTCATCATTTAGCTTTGAAAACAGCATCTAAAGAAATGTTCAAATTTTCTTGAAATAATTTTTCATTTGGGAGAATTTTTATTTCTTGTTTGTAGTTTGCATATATATCATGAATCTATATATTTTATTAAGGACGTGGGAATGTGAAACGGCAAATACTGACCGCGGACTTAGGAGTTCTTTTCTTTCTCTCACGTGTGTGGTATATATACGTGCGATCGTGTATGCTGTCTTCGCGGGTGAGAGGGTCCCGTGTCACACGTCGTTTGCTATACGACCTCGCGAGCATCCAAATCCCAGTTGGGGTTCTCGAATTTCCCATTCTACAACTTGCATTCTTTTCGTTCTTTCTTTCTGTATTTGTTTTTTTTTTTTACAATACCAAACGATTTTCAAAAATTATATTATATTCACAATGCAATTTTATTCGCGATTATGATTAATAAAAATTCTATTTCGAATATTATAATATTTATGCCAATATCATTATGTAGATTTACTTCAAACTTAGGTGAATAATGATCTTATACAGTATGCGCGACGTTAAAAATAATTTGCTTAACTAATCGATTAATTCTTGTCTCAAGAAAGGCATTATTATCACGGAAGTTCTATTAATCACAGCAAGCATTGTCAAAAGAAATCTAAATAAATTTAAAAAAAATTTTGATTAAATCATCATTAGAATTTAATATTAAGTATATAGAAGAACAATTTTTTTTCAGATGAATTTACACCTTTTCTAAAATTGATATATATATATATATATATATAAAAGAGGGGAGGGGAAAAAAAACTTTTGTGAGACAAATGCTTGACCCTGATTCTGCGATTCTCATCGATGAGTACGTTCTTGGAATCTGCGTCACTTGTTCCCAGTTCCAACTAATTCTCTCTCTCGTTGCTTTATTCTGTTTCCTTCCTCGACGGCATTCCCCGGGAGATGACTCGACCTTTCTCGTGAGCTGAAAACCGGATCACGTACTTTATAGTGTGTTTATTACACACATATACACCGCGCTCAACAGGGAATCAATGCTGATTCGTTTTTACGGTTCAATTTATATAGATTTCTTTGATTTGATTTAATGTTACGGTTTAATTTAATGTTTAATTCAATTTTATATAGGATGAATAAGATGCGCGAGAATATCCGAAATTATTTGAAAAAATTCGTATCTATAATAATAATTTACAGCGAGAATAGTGTAATAATAATTTTTGGAATAATTATACAGAAATTGAAAATAATTCACAAACTAGAATACAATTGTAAATATATATATATATATATAAATCTTTTGTAGAACTGGGGATTTTTATATGCTGCCTGCGTCCACCCACTCTCATTTTCGTTTTAGAATAATTTCCCCCTGATTCTTGAATCGCGAGTGCATTGCTTGAATTTCAATTGAGTTGAATTCATCAATATTGTGGGAGTTTGAGGAGTCCCTGAAGAACACACAATGTATAATCAATTCTCGTATGGGAATTAGTGATTCGGATTTTAATTAAACGTTTAATTTTAAACGAATTAAATGCTTGTTTAAGTTAAAAAAAAAAAATCTGATTCTTGCAAATACAAAAGCGGTTTGAATAAACGAAGAGGGAAAAGAAAGAGGCGCCAATCGGAATTATTTGTTTCGATTATTACGGTAAATAAATGCTCTTGAAAGATCGTATAAGTCTTTTTTTTTTTTTATCACAATACCAATATGGCAGTTGATGATTTGTCTTCCTTTGGATGCTATTTGTTTGCATTAGATATATATGCTCTAGGCGACATCGGGAAATCGCCGCCAATGGACATATAGACTTTGATCTTTATATAGCCAAGGGCTCTATTGATGCTCTTGCGACTGATTTGTGTGATCTCAGGGCTTTTAAAACTAGAAAACATTGAATGATCAGTATATATAGAGAATTAGACGAGGATTTATCAGAAATAAACTTCCGCGTATATATCTGCAAAATCGTATATTATATTATACAAAAATGGGGCATAAAAAATTTTTTGATTCTTTCAAAATAAAGATAATTAATATTTTTTAATACTTTATGAAATGAATCATATCATT